CCAAGGCTGGTGATGGAGATGGTGGAGACGCCTTGGGGAGACGTTCATCCAGCAGTGGATAGACCAAGGCTGGTGATGGAGATGGTGGAGACGCCTTGGGGAGACGTTCATCGAGCAGTGGATAGACCAAGGCTGGTGATGGAGATGGTGGAGACGCCTTGGGGAGACGTTCATCCAGCAGTGGATTGACCAAGGCTGGTGATGGAGATGGTGGAGACGCCTTGGGGAGACGTTCATCCAGCAGTGGATTGACCAAGGCTGGTGATGAGGTTGGTGGAGACACCTTGGGGAGATGTTCATCCAGCAGTGGATAGGCCAAGGCTGGTGATGGAGATGGTGGAGACGCCTTGGGGAGACGTTCATCCAGCAGTGGATAGACCAAGGCTGGTGATGGAGATGGTGGAGACGCCTTGGGGAGACGTTCATCGAGCAGTGGATAGACCAAGGCTGGTGATGGAGATGGTGGAGACGCCTTGGGGAGACGTTCATCCAGCAGTGGATTGACCAAGGCTGTAGATGGAGATGGTGGAGACGCCTTGGGGAGACGTTCATCCAGCAGTGGATTGACCAAGGCTGGTGATGGAGGAGACGCCTTGGGGAGACGTTCATCGAGCAGTGGATAGACCAAGGCTGGTGATGGAGATGGTGGAGACGCCTTGGGGAGACGTTCATCCAGCAGTGGATTGACCAAGGTTGGTGATGAGGATGGTGGAGAGGCCTTGGGGAGATGTTCATCCAGCAGTGGATAGACCAAGGCTGGTGATGAGGTTGTAAGTGAGGAGACACAAAAAGTAGTTCCACAACCAACGGCGAGTGCGTTCAATTAAAAATGTTTATTCGAATCACGTCCATTGTATTCCTTCGATTCAAGCTTTTTTTTCCTTCGCGAACAATTTCGCCACGATTCGAACGATCACGGTCAATCTCGTGCAAGAGATTTATTCAATAAATAAATGCACATCGTCTTCCACTGATGGAAGATGTTCGAAAATTAACAATTGGAATGCCAACACTTCTTCTTGTGCAACGTCACGTAAAATGTCTCCCTCCCCACCCCTCTCTGTAAAATCGTCATCGATACAATTCCAACCCCCCCCCCCCCCCCGAACGTTTTGTAATTACTTATCCGCTTAATCATCTTTTCATAATTGTAACTCGTAATACAGATTTTGGGTTAGATCGCGTAAGTGTTGTGTCGTAACCCTCCACCACCCGACACAGCCAATTAGTAAGGGATTTGTCACGTAAACAAAACGCCAATTAGTTACTAGTATAGTGTAGAGTAGTGTATAGTAGTGTATAGTGTAGTGTACAGTAGTGTATAGTGTCGTGTACAGTAGTGTAGTGTATAGTATAGTGTATAGTAGTATTAAGTTTAGTGTACAGTGTGTTGTATATTAGTGTGTAATGTAGTGTATAGTGTAGTGTATATTAGTGTGTAGTGTATAGTGTAGTGTATTGTAGTGTATAGTAGTGTATAGTGTAGTGTATATCAGTGTGTAGTGTAGTGTATACACTACACTATACACGACACTACTACACTAAACTATACAATACAATATAGTATTTTACCCTTTTAAACTGGTACAAAACTGACACCTTTATTCAAGGCATCATGTTTGCAATGACCACAACACAAGTAGTCAAAGCAAACAAAAAGAAGCAACTCTGATAATGATAATAATATGCACTGTCCTTGAAGTTGATTGGTCCACACCCGAGATGGACCAATCAACTTCAAGGACAATGCATATTATTATCATTATCAGAGTTGTTTCTTTGTTTGCTTTTTTGACTACTTGTGTTGTGGTTATTGCAAACATGATGCCTTGAATAAAGGTGTCAGTTTTGTACCAGTTGAAAAGGGTAAAAACCTACTACTATATGTTGCCACTGGTAAAAGAGATCTCATAGTATACAATACACTATACACTACTATACACTACACTACTGTACAGGTTTAAAAACTACTCTCGTTTTTATCAAACGATCTAAGTAACCCCCCCCCCCCCTCCATCTATCGGGGGCGAGTGCTGCGAAAGGCCTCGCATCGAGGCCGGAACGTCGGGCGATTCCGTGGTGTGGCCTACATCCTAATGCCTGCACCAGTGCAGTCCCACACCAGCGTATCGAGGCGCGTTCCATTTAAGGCCGAGTTGACCTAGGGGACGTCCAAGTTCAGATAAATCGCCACCGATGTTGGGTGAGCTATGGCCGAGGGAATCGAACAGGATTCGTAGTGCGGCACGCTAACCACTGCGCTACAACCTTCCAAAGACAAATATCCCCCACACCCGGTATAGCCTTTGACAGACTGTCGGGGCAAGTGCTGCAATTGGTCGTGTGCTGAAATCGAACTCGGTACTCTTTGGTTCTTTCGGTAAAGTCACGTAGATGAAAAATAAAAATGTAAATAATAAAATGAAATTAACTAAATTAAGTGATTTAATTTAGTTATTTTTATTATTTTATTTTTCATCTGCGTGACTTTAGCGAAAGAGCATGGGTCCTCGCAGTCACGAAAACTTCAAATCTAGAATTAATCGAACTCGGGTTTCGTAGCGCAGTGCCGCTGACCACCACAATGACCCCACGACACACACACCACCACACACACACACGCCCACCAATAAATATGCAACAGCAGAAACCACTCAACGCTAACAGTTGGAGGCACCGTCATCATCATCATCACGAACACCTGTGCCAGGCACGGTGCCAGTTTTGGCAGCTGGCACAAGCAAGTGCAGAGTGGGGGGGGTTTCCCAACTTCACAATTCGCGAATCCCACCACCACCACCACCACGCTCCGTCTGTCCTCGTTCACCACTAAGTGGCGTTGACGTCACCACGACGCTTGTGCCAGGCCACGTGCACCTTGAGGCTACCACGTGAAGTGTCGAACGCCCGCTGGCAGGAGGTCACGGGGCAGACCCAGCAGGTGCCACGGGTCGACTGACTGAGATGACTGAGACGACTGGCTGATGCACCACCTGTGCCCCCTAATGTGCCAATCTCCTCCTCCCCATTCACGTGCACAGGTTCCACGCCGCACGCGCTCGATGATTGTTAAACACGCCCCACGTGACGCGCCGAGCAATTACGTTCGTACAGCCGATTCATATTAAGATTGAGATATCGGTGTGTGTGTGCACGTGTACCTTGTGTGTGCGCGTCCCGTGTGTGTGTCACGTGTTCCGTGTGTCACGTGTCCCGTGTGTGTGTCACGTGTCCCGTGTGTGTGTCACGTGTTCCGTGTGTGTGCGCGTGTTCCTTGTGCGTGTGTGCACGTGTTCTGTGTGTGTGCACACATTCCGTGTGTGTCACGTGTTCTGTGTGTGTGTGTGCACGTGTGTGTGTGTGCACGTGTGTGTGTGCACGCGTTCCACGTGACGAAGGCAGCGCTGACCGCTTCACGACGAGGAAACGCGTTTGACAATAATCGCGCGCGTGCAGCGTGGAACGAGTTAATTTGCATTCGAGTGTGGGGAGGAGCAACTTGGCAAACGCGGCAGAGACAGAGAGAGAGAGACACACTGAGCGTGGTGGTGGTCGAGAGTCCTGGAGTTTGTAAAAAAATAAAAACTTTATATAGTGCAACATTCAAGACCTTAGAGGGCAATTCGTCGGACAAACTACGATTGGCCGCGCCAACGACGACGTCACAAAGGGCCTTCATTTGAATGCCCCGGTCTCTGCGCGGTAAGTGCTTGGGTGTTCACGGGAACGCAAACCCTGCGCCGTGCTTGTCACTAACTTAGGGGAGGGGGATAAATGGTATTTTTGAGCCCGGCAACCAACAGAGAAGACCGCTAGCTTGCAGATGTCAACTACCTCGCCTGCTACGCAGGAGGTCGTGGGTTCGATCCCGACCCTGACGCCTGCTGCTGTATATTTGGAGTTTGCGTGTCTTTCTGCCTCTCTCTCATCTTCATCACGGTGGCTAGGAGATGTTAACTACCTCGCCTGGTATACAGGAGGTCGTGGGTTCGATCCCGACCCTGACGCCTGCTGCTGCTGTATATTTGGAGTTTGCGTGTCTCTCTCTCTCTCTCCCTCTGTGGTCGCGTGGATTTTTCTCCGCTTCTTCCAGGTTTTTCCCTGCACAATTAGAATCAACATCATCACGCCGTTTAGAGTATTTGCCCGCGAAAAAATGTCCACGGGATAAGCCGCTTCGATGAACTATCATTTATAATAATCGCTTCTGAAAAATAAATAGTTTAGTTCATAGTTCAATTTAATTTGTTTCTGGGTTGTGCCACGTGGTTGGAGTTTTACAAACTAAATTCTTGCCGTTTTAGATCCTTCTTCACCTGCCCATCAAGAGTGTCGCGTTTACAAATGTATTATTTCTTGACTTAAAGCTTTCGTGACTGCAGGAATTCAAATTATTTTCGTCTTTCGGTGTAAAGTCACGGAGTTAGGTTGAAAAAAAAACACGACGTTTGGATTACAACACAAGCGATCGTCATCCCACTCTGAACCCCTCCCCTCTCCCCGCCCACTCTGAAAACAGACGCCGCTTTTCCTCCATTCAGCAGCAGCAGTGTTGAGGCCCTAATGCAACCAACCTCCCTCCCTCCCATCTTTCCATTTCCATCATTTTCCTCCCATTCCCCATTCTTCCTAGCCTTCTCAAAATCAGAACATTGATTCTAGATTTGAAGCTTTCGTGACTGCAAGGATTCATACTCTTAGGTTGATACAGTAAATCTAGCTGTGACGGTACCACCTGATGACGGAGACTTGTGTTGCCTCCGAAACGTCGTAATTTATTATTTTATTTTATTTCTATTATTAATTATAATTGTATTTTCTTACCTACGTGACTTTACCGAAAAAACCTAAGAGTATAGTCGGAACATTGATTCCTACCGGAAGAAGAATCCGATGAGCCATGAAGCTCTTTCCCCTCTTCCCATCTTTCTCTCTCTCTCTGCCCATCCATTAATAACATCCTTGCTTCTAATCCCCCCACCCACCCACCACCACCACAACCAGCCCCCCACCAAAAACCTGGAGCCGTCAACAGCGCCCCTCCGCCGTCACGGGAAGAACTTCTTCAGCAGGTCCTTCTTGTTCACCTTGCCCATGGCGTTCCTGGGCAGCTCATCCATGAGGATCATCTCCGACGGGATCGTGTAGGCCACCATCCTCTCCCTGTGCACGCACGGCGATCGCGAACTTTACCCATCATGCGGGGAAATCCAATGACTTACGGAGGCTGTTTTTTCACGCGTGTCGGGGCATGATAATAACCAACTGTTTTTCAAGACTATGCCACCACGTAGCATAACAAAACAAAAACTAAACATCATTGGAACCTCATTTGCCAGTAAAAAATATGATAATTGGTTTTTTACCCTTCTATCTGGCAACAAAACTGACACCTTTTTTACAAGGAGTCATGTTTACATAGACCACAATACCTGCGTTCATAATGCAAACAAAAAACATAACTCTGATAATGTGCACTGTCCTTGAAGTTGATTGGTCCACACCCGAGACGCCTTTGGCGTCATCTGGTCCAACCCATGTCAGAATAGGCTCTAAGGAAATCAACTTCAAGGACAGTGCATACATTATCAGAGTTATGTTTTTTTTGCATTATGACCGCAGGTATTGTGGTCTATGCAAACATGACTCCTTGTAAAAAAGGTGTCAGTTTTGTTGCCAGATAGAAGGGTAAAAAAACAATTATTAAACTAAACATTTTTGACTATTTATTTTACCAGTTCCCCCCCCGTATAGCCTCAACACTGTCGGGGCAAGTGCTGTTAGCGAGCACCTGTGAAGGCCGGCACGGCACACGACGATGCGGGTGGGCCAGCACCACGCCCGGCCGCCTTTGTCTCCCCAATGTTTACACGCCGCACCAGGTTATCATTTGAGGCCGAGTCGACCTAGGGGAGGCCCCGCTGGAAGTCGTCACAGCTGGTGACCCACGGCTCACGGAGCGCGTGGGCCATGCCCGCACTGAGCGCCACTCCGGCGGAGAGCGCCGAAATTTATCCCACGTGCACAACCACAACAACCACAACCACATCCACAACCACATCCACAGCCACAACCACATCCACAACCACAACCACATCCACAACCACATCCACAACCACAACCACATCCACAACCACAACCACAACCACATCCACAACCACAACCACAACCACATCCACAACCACATCCACAACCACAACCACATCCACAACCACATCCACAACCACATCCACAACCACAACCACAACCACAACCACATCCACAACCACAACCACATCCACAACCACAACCACAACCACATCCACAACCACATCCACAACCACAACCACATCCACAACCACATCCACAACCGCAACCGCAACCGCATCCGCATCCGCAACCGCAACCGCATCCACAACCGCATCCACAACCACAACCACATCCACAACCACAACCACATCCACAACCACATCCACAACCACATCCACATCCACACCACATCCACAACCACAACCACAACCACATCCACAACCACATCCACAACCACAACCACAACCACATCCACAACCACATCCACAACCACAACCACATCCACAACCACATCCACAACCACAACCACAACCACATCCACAACCACAACCACATCCACAACCACAACCACAACCACATCCACAACCACAACCCACAACCACATCCACAACCACATCCACAACCACATCCACAACCACAACCACATCCACAACCACAACCACATCCACAACCACAACCACATCCACAACCACATCCACATCCACAACCACATCCACAACCACAACCACAACCACATCCACAACCACAACCACAACCACATCCACAACCACATCCACAACCACATCCACAACCACAACCACATCCACAACCACATCCACAACCACAACCACATCCACAACCACAACCCACAACCGCAACCACAACCGCATCCACAACCACAACCACATCCACAACCACAACCACAACCACATCCACAACCACAACCACATCCACAACCACATCCACAACCACATCCACATCCACAACCAAATCCACAACCGCAACCGCAACCACAACCACATCCACAACCACAACCACATCCACAACCACAACCACAACCACATCCACAACCACAACCACATCCACAACCACAACCACATCCACAACCACAACCACATCCACAACCACAACCACAACCACATCCACATCCACAACCACATCCACAACCACATCCACAACCACATCCACAACCACAACCACATCCACAACCACAACCACAACCACAACCACATCCACAACCACATCCACAACCACAACCACAACCACATCCACAACCGCATCCACAACCACATCCACAACCACATCCACAACCACAACCACATCCACAACCACAACCACATCCACAACCACATCCACATCCACAACCACAACCACATCCACAACCACATCCACAACCACATCCACAACCACATCCACAACCACAACCACATCCACAACCACATCCACAACCACAACCACATCCACAACCACATCCACAACCAACCACAACCACAACCACATCCACAACCACAACCACATCCACAACCACAACCACATCCACAACCACATCCACAACCGCATCCGCAACCGCAACCGCAACCGCAACCACAATCCACAACCACAACCACATCCACAACCACATCCACAACCACATCCACAACCACAACCCACAACCACATCCACAACCACATCCACAACCACATCACAACCACATCCACAACCACAACCACATCCACAACCGCAACCGCAACCACATCCACAACCACATCCACAACCACATCCACAACCACATCCACAACCACAACCACATCCACAACCACAACCACATCCACAACCACATCCACAACCACATCCACAACCACATCCACAACCACAACCACATCCACAACCACATCCACAACCACAACCACATCCACAACCACAACCACAAATCCACAACCACATCCACAACCACATCCACAACCACAACCCACAACCGCAACCACAACCACATCCACAACCACATCCACAACCACAACCACATCCACAACCACAACCACATCCACAACCACAACCACATCCACAACCCATCCACAACCACATCCACAACCACATCCACAACCACAACCACATCCACAACCACATCCACAACCACATCCACAACCACATCCACAACCACATCCACAACCACATCCACAACCACATCCACAACCACATCCACATCCACAACCACAACCACATCCACATCCACACCACAACCACATCCACAACCACATCCACAACCACATCCACAACCACATCCACAACCACATCCACAACCACACTCCACAACCACAACCACATCCACAACCACAACCACATCCACAACCACAACCACATCCACAACCACAACCACACCCACATCCACAACCACAACCACAACCACACTCCACAACCACAACCACACCACAACCACAACCACATCCACAACCACATCCACAACCACACCACACAACAGCAACCACAACCACTCCACAACCACAACCACACTCCACAACCACAACCACATCCACAACCACAATCCACAATCACATCCACAACCACATCCACAACCACATCCACAACCACATCCACAAACCACATCCACAACCACCATCCACAACCACAACCACATCCACAACCACACCACAACCACATCCACAACCACATCCACAACCACATCCCATCCACAACCACATCCACAACCACAAACCGCCGTGGTGACCACGAGGTCGCTGGGAAGTGGACAAGGGTGGTGGTGGGGGGTCGATGGAGAGGACGAGGTTTGGGTTTCGGTGGCTGCGGTGATCGCGTAGGCTGCACATTTCGCTGGGGGCGGTGAGCTGTCGTGGCGAGGGGAGGGGGGCGGTGGGGGAAGACGCAGCGGAGTGAAAGGGTCAGGGTGGTGGTGGTAGCTACGCTGCTGCTGCTGCTGCACGTGACCTGCCCGTGGATCCAGCCGCGGCTGTACTTACAATCCAAGTAAGCCCCTGGAATCAGAGGTCGCAAACGGGTTTTGATTCCTTACCCGTACACGTACCCGGCCGCACCAGGGTCGCAAACGGGTACCCGTACCCGTACCTGGCCGGGTACGGGTACCCGTTCCCTACCCGTACCCTACCCAAAATGAGTGACAAACGGTGACTCACCAGTGACTCACGGCCTACCCGTATCCGTACCCGGCCGCACCAGGGTCGCAAACGGGTACCCGTACCCGTACCTAGCCGGGTACGGGTAGCCAGGTATCGGGTAGGGTACGGGTATTGGGTACCCGGTTGCGACTGTGCGCTTTTAAATCGCCCAGATTGGCTAACGGATTCCTCTAGAACCGCTCGTTGTCGTGCCGAGTCTCCTGTCCTTCCCACCGCGGTTGGGTACAAACGGCGGCCCGAAAGAAGTTCAGCAGAATGCGCACACGCACACGCTCAGACCACCGGTATGGACGCACGGACGACAACGTCCGCCAAAATCCCTGGTGAGGACCGGCCGCGGTTTGCATCGGAGCTCTCGGTGAGGGCGTTAGACTTATTTTTTTAAAGTTCCTCACCAAACGCGGCAATATTGTCAAGACGCCCCCCTCCCGGCGTGACGCTCGCTGCCGTAAAACGCGACGTGAGCCGACTGACGCCGCAAAAAAAATAAGATTATAAAATCGAAATATAAAATAATATTATTATATAAATAAATGTAATACATAAAAGACATTCAATTTTTTTCAGTAACCCGGGAGCGTGTTTCGCAGCGCGTTTAAAAAAAACTAAAATTTTGCCGCGACAATTAAAAAAATAATTGACAATTAAAATGGCATTTTGGCACCGCAGCGAAAAAAAAAAACCCCCAAAAAACGCACGCCAAGTCATTAACGTAGACGCCCGGCCGTTCACACACCCCACTCTCCCCGTTTGTTGTCCACGATGCAATACGGTGGCCGAGTTTTTTTTTGTTGCTTAAATTTATAATCCGTCATCGTCGTGAAATTATACGCCCGCCGCCGGTTACCCCCCCCCCCCCCCCGCCGCCCCCCCTACTGCAGCAAGGTGATAATTTAAATTTTAGCACCACTACCACCACCGCCCGCTCGCAAAGTCGCGCGTTAATTTGCGCAACGCCGCTACGAGAGAGCGATAGGCATCCTCGCGGATTTTAAACGTTTCATTCATTATTTCATTAGGGCTCTCACTTTCGTCGGCCCGCCTCCGCACGTCACCGCTCCCCCCACCCCCCACCCGCCCCCGCCCAGCCGCCTTTGTCTCCCTAATGCCGATGATTGGGGCGCCACAGTGGCTAGAAGATGTTAACTACCTCGCCTGGTGTACAGGAGGTCGTGGGTACGATCCCGACCCTGACGCCTGCTGTGTTTTTGGAGTTTGCGTGTCTCTCTCTCTCTCATCATCATCACGGTGGCTAGGAGATGTTAACTACCTTTCCTGGTATGCAGGAAGTCGTGGGTACGATCCCGACCCTGACGCCTGCTGTGTATTTGGAGTTTGCGTGTCTCTCTCTCTCTCATCATCATCACGGTGGCTAGGAGATGTTAACTACCTCGTCTGGTATGCAGGAGGTCGTGGGTTCGATCCCAAACCTGACGCCTGCTGTATATTTGGAGTTTGCCGTGTCTCACTCTCTCATCATCATCACGGTGGCTAGGAGATGTTAACTACCTCGCCTGGTATACAGGAGGTCGTGGGTTCGATCCCAAACCTGACGCCTGCTGCTGTATATTTGGAGTTTGCGGTGTCTCACTCTCTCATCATCATCACGGTGGCTAGGAGATATTAACTACCTCGCCTGGTATGCAGGAGATCGTGGGTACGATCCCGACCCTGACGCCTGCTGCTGTATATTTGGAGTTTGCATCTCTCTCATCATCATCATCATCACGGTGGCTAGGAGATGTTAACTACCTCGCCTGGTATGCAGGAGGTCGTGGGTACGATCCCGACCCTGATGCCTGCTGCTGTAGATTTGGAGTTTGCGTGTCTCTCTCTCTCTCTCATCATCATCACGGTGGCTAGGAGATGTTAATTACCTCGCCTGGTATGCAGGAGATCGTGGGTACGATCCCGACCCTGACGCCTGCTGTGTATTTGGAGTTTGCGTGTCTCTCTCTCACATCATCATCATCACGGTGGCTAGGAAATGTTAACTACCTCGCCTGGTATACAGGAGGTCGTGGATACGATCCCGGCCCTGACGCCTGCTGCTGTATATTTGTAGTTTGCGTGTCTCTCTCATCATCATCATCATGGTGGCTAGGAGATGTTAACTACCTCGCCTGGTGTGCAGGAGGTCGTGGGTACGATCCCGACCCTGGCGCCTGCTGCTGTATATGTGGAGTTTGCGGTGTCTTTCTCCACGTGGTCACGTGGATTTCTTTCCTCCGGGGTCCTCCGCTTTTTCCCCCTTCGCATTTAGAATCACCGTCGCGCATTTTGGGAGTATTTCGTTGACCGCTGCCGCGAATTTCCAGGCGACGATGCTAGGCCTGCCGGCGCCGAGCCCACCACTTACGATGGCCAGCCCCGCTTCTGAAAAAGTGCTTCGTTATAGCTCAATGGGCCTTACCTGGGGTGTAGTAAAAAAGTAAAATAAAGTAACAAAAATATCAAAAAAGTAAAAAAAAAATGTGTTTATCTGGCTGCTCGGTGGGCCGGCCGGCCCGGCCCACCTAACTGGCCAGGCGGGCACGAATCCAAGCAGGAAGGCCAGCCAGCGAAACTTGCAGGGCCCCGCACAGAGGAGGCGGTGGCTCAGGCTTACCTTGCCCACTCCTTGATCTGCTTGAGGGTGAGCGTCGCTCCCCGCCGCAGCACCACCAGCGCCGTCACTCGCTGGCCCCACAGCGAGTCGGGGGACCCGATCACCGCCACGTCTGCGCGGGGGGTGGGAGGGTAGGAGGGCGGGTGGGCGGGTGGGTGGGTAAGTGGGTGGGTGGGTTGGTGGGCGGGTGGGCGGGCGGGTGGGTTTATGGATGGGTGGGCAGGCGGGTGGGTGGGTGGGTGGGTGGGCGGGTGGGTCGGCGGTTGGGCGGTTGGGTGGGTGAGTGTTTGGGTGGGCGGATGGGTGGGCGGGTGGGTTGGTGGGTCGGCGGTTGGGCGGGTGGGCGAGCGGGTTAGTGGATGGGTCGGTAGGCGGGTAGGCGGGTGGGCGGGTGGGCGGGTGGGCGGGTGGGTGGGTGGGTGGGTGGGTGTGTGGGCGGGTCGGCGGTTGGGCGGGTGGGCGAGCGGGTGGGTGAATGGGTCGGCAGGCGGGCGGGTGGGTGGGTGGGTGGGTGGGTGTGTGGGTGGGTGTGTGGGCGGGTGGGTGGAGCAGGAACACGTGGGGGCAAGTGCCGTTTTTTGGCGAAGACCCTACGAAGGAACAGCGGGCACGACGCACGGGGCCGCTGGGTGGCACGGGTGCCGCGCCTCAATGCTCGTTGGAACAGGAACTCGATTTGTTTGACTTTTGGACCATGTGAATTTCTCACGCGGTGTTAGCCTGTGGCGGGGAGGGGAGGGGGGCGCGGTGGGGGGGGGGGGGGCGCGGTGGGGGGGGGTATAGCGGAACTACCGGTGATGTCGGGGTGAGACAGGAGATTCCACTCCACCTCCAGCGCGCTGATCTTGTACCCGCCGCTCTTGATGATGTCAGCTGACGTGCGCCCCAGCAGGCGGAACGCGCCGTCACGGTACACGGCCGTGTCGCCTGCGTCCCGCGGGAAGGGGGGGGGGGGGTGCACAGAAACAAAGGTAAAGATCCCCCCCCGCCGTAGCCTACGCAGGCTGCAGGGGCAAGTGCTGTTTAGCGAGCACCTCCTGTGAAGGCCGGCACGGAGCTGGTGTTTCACGCATCGTACCAGGCGCAAACTATCCTTTGTCTTGCCAGGTAAGGCCCACTGTGGGCACCTGGCTATCACGAATGAAAGTGAAATGAAGAGGCTTCTAGACATCGCGTGGAAATGCAGAGCAGCAGAAAATGAAGCTTTCGTGACTGCAAGGATTCATATTCTTAGGTTTTTTCGGTAAAGTCACGTAGGTTAAAAATTAATAAAATTTAAATAAAAATAAAATAAAAATCACGACGTTTCGGAGGCAACACAAGCTTCCATACTCGTGCTGTGACGGTTCCACCTGAAGACGGAAGCTTGTGTTGCCTCCGAAACGTCGTGATTTTTATTTTATTTTATTAATTTTTATTTTTTTCCTACGTGACTTTACCGAAAAAAACCTAAGAATACAGCAGAAAATGCTCGAAACGCCCGACGTCCATTCTGAATGTGGAGGGGAGAAAAATCCACGCGACCACAGAGAGAGACACGCAAACTCCAAGGGTACAACGGGCGTCAACGCGTGGTGCATTTGCGCCGATAATTTGACGCCATAGCGCAGAGAACCTGTCGTGACAGAGGCCGCGCCCTACGATTAGCAGGCGCCAAGCTGTGCCACACGCCCTCCCGCGTGGCCTTGTGGGAGCCTCGGCACCGATAAAGTTGTCTGATTTCGATTTAAAGCTTTCGTGACTGCAGGGATTCATCTTCTTGGTTCTTTCGGTAAAGTAACGTAGAAGGTAAATGATAAAATAATTAAAATAAAACATTCTCAAATACAATTCTCACGACGTTTCGGCCACAACGCAAGCAGCCGTCCTCAGGTGAAGAACAGGTCTGTCGGAAAGGCGCCCTTCCCCCTCCAACCCAGCTTAAATCTACGCTGCCAAGCTTGGTGGTGTTCATTCAGACGCTGTCTTTCCGACAGACCTGTTCTTCACCTGAGGACGGCTGCTTGCGTTGTGGCCAAAACGTCGTGAGAATTGTATTTTATTATGTTTTATTATTATTATTTTATTATTTACCTTCTACGTGACTTTACCGAAAGAACCAAGAAGTTGTCTGATTTAGTTTTTTTTTCTTCCGGTTCCGTTGGTGTATGTCACGGGGCAGGCCCGCGAAAGGCCACGGGTACCTGTCAGCACGTGGACGTCGTGGGAATCGGAACCGGAAGAAAAACTGCAACGGCAAAAGGGTTGATTCCATTCCAGAGGGAGCGGGCGGGTCTCTTGGGATTTTTTTCGGGCGCGAAAAACGGTTTCCCGCTCGGCGGAATTGAACGGTGAAGAGATCCTGGCTGTTATTTTTAGTAAAAAAAAAGAAAAAAAAATTTGCAAAAAAATTTGCTTTGATTTTCATGTCTCGCGTCACGCGAATGCAAAAACTTTTACTAAAGGGGGGGGGGGGGCTCCAATCTAAATGCAACGCCGCTCGACGCCAACACCGCCGCGACTACCTGAAACAAATTAACTCCCTCCCACGCGCCAAAATTTTCGTTCAAATAATGATGATGATGGTGCCGATGCCCTCGTTAGCGTCGAATCGCTAGGCCGGTGTACTAACGATGCGGGCCTAATTATCGCGACGGGGACAACGGTTGTTTGCCGCCGGCGTGGGATTGCGCTACATGCGATGTTTTAATTAACGCGGCGATGGTGACGTGAACGGGAAAGCGAGGCGGGCGTGGGGGGGATGGCCGGGAGGAGACTGTGGCATTTTTTTTTTATCGAGTTGCAGATGATTGGTCATCGCAGCAGCAGCCTCCTCCACAGAGGCCGATCTTGACACCGCTGGTACCAGTCATCGGCAAGTCCACTCAGCCTCCTGTACCACATCACTCCATCTCTTCTCTAGCCAGTGTCGCGCCCGTTTAGCCCCCTCAATCCGGCTGTTTAGGTATGCGGTGGCTGGGCATGTGGGCTACATGTCCCAGCCAAAGCAGCCTTGCCTGCCGGAGGAGCTCACCGATGAGACTTTGTCCAGATCTTTCAAGGATATGTGAGCTTCTCACACAATCCAGCCTGGTTAAACCCAGGACGGATCGTAGACAGGCCAGCCTAAATGTTTATAATCGGCGAAGATGTTCCATTAGTGGGGGGTCCACGTTTCGCAAGCGTAGAGAAAGGAGGGCATGCCCGTGGCCGAGAAGACCCGACTTTTTGGATTGAGACCTCTGCTGTCAAACCTCACTTACACACACACTCACTCACACTCTACAGAACACGGGGAAGAGAGAATGCACAAACTCCACACACAGAAATACGCCCGAGTCGGGAATCGAACCCCGGCTCCTGCCCGCTGCGAGGCCACGCAAACGAGGGCTGCCACCACAGCACCACCGCCAACCACCGCACCACCGCCACCACCACAACCGCACGTACCCGTCTTGAACCAGCCGTCCGACGTGAACGCCTCCTTGGTCTCAAGAGGCCGCCGCCAGTACTCCTTGAAGACGGAGGGTCCTGACACCTGCAGCTCGCCCTCCTTGCCCTCGAAGCCCGGCGTCACCTGCGAACCGGCGACAATTTGTAACGCGCGCAAATTTGCAGACGTAGTGGCCGCAACTCAGAGGCGCGGAGCCAAGCTCAGAGTCGCTCAAAAGCACGTGATTGTAGAGGTGAGTTTTTAAGTGTCTCTTGAAGGAGGCGATTGAGGTGATGCTGCGAATGTGCAGAGGGATGATATCGTTCCAGACTGTTGGGGCTGCCACCGAGAAACGGCGCATAGACACGATGACCATCCTGGATCTCGGTATCAAGAGGAGGCCGTGAGTCGCGCTGCGCAGGCATCTGCCGTGTGCTGAGCTGCAAGTTGTCAATAATGAAGAGAGGTACGGCGGGCAGGCGGATATGAAGGCGTTGTGGTAGAGGCAGGCGATCTTGTGTGTGACCCTACTGGCGATGGGTAGCCAGTCAGTTGAGAGCACGGAGACAAGCTAGTGAGTCGAGACGGGGATGAGTGTGGGCAAACAAAGACGCGCCCCCCCACCCCCCCCGTGTGGAACTCTGGCAGACCGTGGGGGGCAAGGGCGCTCGGGCGGGGGGGTGGGGGTGGTCAAGAGGCGTGCACTGCCACCTTTGTCTCCACAGATTCCTGCCTCGAAATATTCTGATGGGGTCCCAGGCACGTGCTCTCCCCCCCTCCCCCCCCCCAAAGATCCCCCCTATAGCCTTAACAGACTGTCGGGGCAAGTGCTGTTAGCGAGCAGCACCTATGAAGGGCAACACAGGCAACACGAGGGAGGTGCGTGGCCAGCACCACGCCCGGTCGCCTTTGTCTCCCCGAGTGCCAATGCATTCCATGCGCACTGCAACAGGCGCTGACTTGAGGCCGAGTCGACCTAGGGGAGGGACCCCAGGGTCGGCGGCGGTGCATCGGCACAACCGAGAAGAAGCAAAGCCGACAAGCGTCGCTTGCGAGTAACAACGCTCGCGCCGTTTGTACGAAACAAATGTGTAACAGGCGACGTTTTAGGCAATGGTCCCTTTTATTCACTGCGCGTAAGCACGATCAGTCCATGCTGAGTTTTTTTTTTACGTCATTAAAAACAACCCTGCATATCCAGGTGGACATTGCACATTTCTGCATTTCACATAAATATGCTAAATTCCTCTTGATATGCAAATTATTTTGTCAAGGCGCTCTTCGCCCCTCCATCCCAGCTTAAATAGTCGCTCCAAGCCTGGGGCTTGTCATTCAGACGCTGTCTTCTCGACAGACCTGTTCTCCACCTGAGGATGGCTGCTTGCGCTGTGGCCGAAACGTCGTGAGAATTTATTTTATTATGTTTTATTTTTATTATTTTGTTATTTCCATTCTACGTGACTTTACCGAAATAACCAAGAAGATGAATCCCTGCAGTCACGAAAGCTTTAAATCGAAATTCCACATTCCTATGGCGAGTGTCGCATTTTTGTGATTTTCCCCAGGACCAGGACACCCCGCCCCCCCTTCATGGCCGGTCATGTGGGCAGCCGTGGGATTTTGTGGGAAATTTATAGGAAGGGTGAAACTACGACTGAAACTATTTATGTTATATCTACCAGGTAAGGTCCCACTGAGCTGCTAGGCATCTCAGAAGCGACCTGGCCAGCACAAATGACGGCCCAGCGAAGTGGCTCATCATCATCATCATCATCGTCGTCGTCGTTATCATCACGTAGAAATTTATAGCAGAGAAATCATCTAGACGCGTGACGTTGATTCTAAACGCGGAGGGGGAAAACCCGGAGGACCCGGGGATAAAATCCAGGCGACCACGGGGAGAGAGAGAGAGACGCAAACTCCAAATATACAGCAGCAGGCGTCAGGGTCGGGATCGAACCCACGACCTCCTGCGTACCAGGCGAGGTAGTTAACATCTCCTAGCCACCGTGATGATGTGAGAGAGAGAGAGAGACGCAAACTCCAAATATACAGCAGCAGGCATCAGGGTCGGGATCGAACCTACGACCTCCTGCGTACCAGGCGAGGTAGTTAACATCTCCTAGTTACCGTGATGACGACGATGAGAGTGAGAGAGACACGCAAACTCCAAATATACAGCAGGCGTCAGGGTCGCGATCGAACCCACGACCTCCTGCATACCAGGCGAGGTAGTTAACATCTTCTAGCCACCATGGATGAGCGAGCGAGCGAGCGCATGGTGAGCGAGCGAGCGAGCGAGCGGCGGAGTCACTCACCCTCGTGGACTTGCTGTCTGCCTGGACGATCGCCTTGCACGACTCGCCCCCCCCACTCACCGCCTCCATGACGATCCTCACTTCCACGCCCGGCAGCGGTGACCCCACCGTGCCTACGGCAACAACAACAACCACGGTGGCACCACAAAGACAAAGGTCCCTCCCCCGCCGTATAGCCTCGAACAGGCCGCAGGGGCAAGAGCTGTTGGCGAGTAGCACCGATGAAGGCCGGCACCACGCCCGACCCGCCCTTTGTCTCCCAACCGGCGACGTTTACACACCGCACCAGGTACTCATTTGAGGCCGAGTCGACCTAGGGGAGGCCCAGCTTCGGTTCGGGTAGCCGTCACAGGTGTCGGCCCATGAGCGGGGAATCGAACCCGGCTTGAGCAGTTTTCTTGTTTCGTTTAAACGACATCGCGGGGGTTATTTATTTATAACGCCTCCCTCGGCTAATATCATCGCCGCAGTACTAACCAGGGCGGCCGTGCGTTACTGGGGGTGGGGAGCGTTGTTCCGAATCGTGAATCTATTCTTGTTATTTTCTTATGACCAGGTCAGGCCCACCGTAGCTATGTAGCTCGCAAACGATGGCCCAAAAAAAGGGGGGGGGGGGGGCTCTTCGCAATGTGCGAATTTATTCGCAGCACAAATCGCCGTTAAACGCGAGCCGTCGATTCTAAACGAGGAGGGCAAAAACCCGGAGGCCCCGGAGAAAATTCTACGCGACCACCACAGGAGAGAAAGGGAGACACCACAAGCTTCAAATACGCAGCAAAATACGTTAAATGCATGTTTTAGAGACTCATAGAGACTCATAGAGATCCACAGAGACCCATAGCAACCTATAGAGACCCATACGGAAACAAACATTTTTTTATTCTACCAGGTATCACTAAGCTATATAGCTCTATTTCAGAAGCATCCTGGCTGTCATAAATGATAGCTCAACAAATCGGCTTATCATCATGTGGACATCTTCTTGGTTCTTTCGGTAAAGTCACGTAGAAGGGAAGTAATAAAATAATAAAAATAAAACATAATAAAATATTGCTTTATTTTTATTCGTTTATTATTTCCCTTTTACGTGACTTTACGTAATAATAAAATAATAAAAATTAAACATAATATTTTATTATGTTTTATTTTTATTATTTTATCACGTAGAAGGGAAATAATAAAATAAAATAAATGTAACATAATATTTATTATGGCCCGTGATCTCCTTCCAGCGCTCCAAATAATAAAAATTATACATAGTATTTTATTATGCTTTATTTTCATTATTTTATTATTTCCCTTCTACGTGACTTTACCGAAAGAACCAAGAAGATGAATCCCTGCAGTCACGAAAGCTTTACATCGAAATCACGTGGACATTTATAACAGCCAGATGCTCCAAACGCGTGACGTCGGTCAGGGTCAGGGATCGAACCCACGACCTCCCGCGTACCCGGCGAGACAATTAACACCTCCCAGCGCCGCGGCTGGTACGCGCCGAATCCTCACCGGGAATCCTATCCCCGCGCAGTGGGTTTGAGAGCACCATGCCCAGCTCGGTCATGCCGTAGCGCTCCAGGAGGCGGTGGCCCGTGATCTCCTCCCAGCGTTCCAGCACCGGCGTTGGCAGCGCCGCAGAGCCCGACACCATGAGGCTGCCACGGCGCGAAAGGGGAGAGTGGCGTTCACTACCCGTACAAAGACAAAGATTCCCCCGTATGACCTGTAACAGGCCGTTGGGGCTGTTAGCGGGCATCTACGAAGGCCGGCGCGGCACACGAGGGGGTGGGTGGCCAACCACCACGCCCGGCCGCCTTTGTCTCCCCAGTGGCGATGATTTGCACACCGCACCAGGTACTCATTTAAGGCTGAGTCGACGGAGGAGCGGCCCAAAACCGGTTCAGGTCAAACTCAGATCGACGGGTTCATAGGGCAACATTCTCAACACTTCTCTCCACTTACACAATAGACAAAGATCCCCCCTATAGCCTGAACAAACTGTTGGGGCAAGTGCTGTTAGCGAGCGCCTGTGAAGGCCGGCACGGCGGCACACGAGGGGGTGGGTGGGCGGCACCACGCCCGGCCGGCTTTGTCTCTCGGGTGGCGAGGTTTTCACACCGCAACTGGTACTGATTTGAGGCTGAGTCGACCTAGGGGAGGCTCAGGGCCGGTTCAGATAATCGTCAATGTTGGCCGTGAGTGGGAATTGAACCCGGGTCGCCAGGTTCGGAGCGCAGCGCTAAACCGGTAAGCTACCACTCCCCGCGACACGCACGCACACACAAAGACAAAGATCCCCTGTATAGCCTTAACAGACTGTTGAGGCAAGTGCTGTTAGCGAGCACCAATGAAGGCTAGAATGGTGCACAAGGGGCGCGCGCACACACACGCATGCACACACGCACGCAAACACACACACACACACGTACACAGACACACACATGTACACACACACGCACACACACGCACGCACACGCACACACGCACACACACATTCACGTACACACACACACACACACGTACACACACACACACACACGTACACACACACACGCACCGGATGTGCTCCTTGCACATGCCGCGCACGAAGTCGCGGACGCGAGGCCGCGTGTAGTGCTCGTCGTAGTAGTCGATGAGCCGCGCGTACACCGTGGGCACCGCCATGAACACGTTCACCCGCGGCGACGCATCGCCGCTCAGCAGGTGCTCCCACACCTGGGGGGGGGGGGGGGGGTGGGACAGCGACGGCGATGCGTTGGCAGTGGTGATGCACGAGCAGGGTCAACGGCGGCAGCAGCAGCAGCAGCAACTCGACACGTTTCGTGTCAGTAAAAATGCTCGCGGTCGTTACCCCTTTCCAGTTCTGATGACGTACGTGTAGACGGAACGGAACCGGTGAGTGGGTGAGTGGGTGAGTGGGTGGGTGGATGAGTGAGTGGGCGACTGGGTCAGTGAGTGAGTGGGTGGGTGGGTGAGTGAATGGGCTAGTGGGTAGGTTAGTGAGCAGGTGAGTGAATGGGCGAGTGGGTCAGTGAGTGAGTGGGTGGGTGAGTGGGTGATTGAGTGGGTGAGTGAATGAGTGAATTAGTGAGTCGGTGAGTGAGTGAGCAGGTGTGTGGGTGGGTGAGTGAGCGATTGAGTGGGTGAGTGAATGGGTGAGTGAATGAGTGATTGGGTGGGTGAGTGGGTGAGTGAAAGAGTGAATTAGTGAGTGGGTGAGTGAGTGGGTGAGTGAGCGTGTGCTTTTTTTTCCAGTGACCCTCCGTACGGTGGGTGAACACAGCGGCGAGCGAACGAGCCAGCGAGAATTAGCGATTGATCCCGTGAACGAGTGAGCGGGTGAGTCAGTGGGCGAATTAGCGAATGAGCAAACGAGTGGGTGAGTGAACGGGTGAGTGGGCGAGTGAGTGGGCGAGAGACTTAACGAATGAGTGGGTGAGCGAACGGGTGAGTGGGCGAGTGAACGAGCGGGTGGGCGAGTGAGCGGGCGAGAGACTTAATGAATGAGTGGGTGAGCGAACGGGTGAGTGGGCGAGTGAACGAGCGGGTGGGCGAGTGAGTGGGTGAGAGACTTAATGAATGAGTGGGTGAGTGAACGGGTGAGTGGGTGAGTGAACGGGTGAGTGGGCGAGTGAAAGAGCGGGTGGACGAGTGAGTGGGCGAGAGACTTAATGAATGAATGGGCGAGTGAACGGGTGAGTGGGCGAGTGAATGAGCGAGTGGGCGAGTGAGCGGGCGAGAGACTTAATGAATGAGTGGGTGAGTGAACGGGTGAGTGGGCGAGTGAATGAGTGGGTGGGTGAGTGAGTGGGCGAGAGACTTAATGAATGAGTGGATGAGTGAGTGGGCGAGATACTTAATTAATGAGTGGGCGAGTGAATGAGCGAGTGGGTGAGTGAGTGGGCGAGAGACTTAATGAATGAGTGGGTGAGTGAACGGGTGAGTGGGTGAGTGAGTGGGCAAGAGACTTAACGAATGAGTGTGTGAGTGAACGGGTGAGTGGGCGAATGAACGAGCGGGTGGGCGAGTGAGCTGGCGAGAGAATTAACGAATGAGTGGGTGAGCGAACGGGTGAGTGGGCGAGTGAACGAGCGAGTGGACGAGTGAGCTGACAGGCGTGGCGACTCCTCATTCCCCGCCACCGCCAACCTGCCGGGCATCGAACTCGGGGAGCATGACACACGAGGCCCCCACGGCGAGCGGGCACAGAAGCTTGTTGATGATGCCGTGCGTGTGGTGCAGGGGCAGCGTGTGGAGGATGACGTCATCGCAGCTCCACTCCCAAGCCTCCAGCAGGCAGGAGACCTGTAGGCCGGGCACGGGAACGGGCGCGTGCCGGGCGTTTAAAAATGCAAATCAGAATCGGAAAGGGTTTTATTCGCCATGAAAGTTTGCACGGATAAGGCATTTACTATGGCAGGAAGGTGCGTGCATTCAACGTGTAGGAATCTTAAAACTTAAATAAGTGGTATACATCTTCTTGGTTCTTTCGGTAAAGTCACGTAGAAGGGAAATAATAAAATAATAAAAATATACGCTCTAAGCGTGGTGCTGTTTCATTCAGACGCTGTCTCCCCGACAGACCTGGTCTTCACCTGACGGCAGCTGCTTGCGTTGTGGCCGAACCGTCGTGAGAATTCTTTTATTATGTTTTTTATTATTTTTTTATGTTTTTTATTATTATTTTTTATAAAACGTAATAAAAAATGTATTTCCCTTCTACGTGACTTTACCGAAAGAACCAAGAAGATGAATCCCTGCAGTCACAAAAGCTTTAAATCGAAATTTTACAAATTAGTGTTTTAATATTTGCGTGTTTTTTTTTATTCCGGTTTCAGTGATTCTGCACTTGCTCTATTCTATAGTACTCTACCGCCTTCGACTTTTATGAACGACTGCGTGTTTAAGGTTATCGATTCGCCATATTATCTGGCTGTACAGCAAACGAAAAAATACAATTACTTCCTATGCAAGTTACAAATTTGCGTTTAAATATTTGCGTGTTTTTTTTATTTTTTAGCACCCATTCACAGCGTCATGCTACAGGCCCCGCACCCGCTTCATGTACCTGCGCGTGGAGATTGCCGTGCGTGCTCAGGACTCCCTTGGGCCTCCCGGTCGTGCCGCTGGTGTAGACGATCATCGCCGGGTGGTCTCGCCAGTCGCCGCCGGCGGCCGCCCCGCCCCCCCCCGCCCCGTCGTCGTCGTCGCCGCCACCCCCCCCACCATACACGTCGCTGTGCATCACCGTGACGTGCGGCACGCCAATCTCGCGGGCGACACCCGCGGCCGCCTCGGCGAACTCCTCCGTCGAGAGGACGACGCGGGCGCCGCAGTCGCCCGCCACGTAGTGGAGCTCGCGCCGCGGGTGACGGTGGTAGAGCGGCACGGCCACCGAGCCGCGTAGCCACGTGGCCCACTGGGCCGCCACGTAGCGCGCGTCGTTGGGGCACAGGAACGCCACCGCCTGCGACGCCGGATTCCCTGGGAGGCGCACGGCAGAGGTCGCAAACGGGTTTTGATTCCGTACCGGTACCCGTACGCGGCCGCACCAGGGTCACAAATGGGTACCCGTACCCGTACCCTACCTGAAATGAGTGACAAACGGCTACTCACCAGTGACTCACGGCCTACCCGTACCCATACCCAGCCGCACCAGGGTCGCAAATGGGTACCCGTCAGAGGTGTGGACTCGAGTCATGTGACTTGGACTCGAGTCAGACTCGAGTCATGAATTTGATGACTTCAGACTCGACTTGGACTTGCATAACAATGACTTTGTCCCACCTCTGAGGTGTGGACTCGAGTCATGTGACTTGGACTCGAGTCAGACTCGAGTCATGAATTTGATGACTTCAGACTCGACTTGGACTTGCATAACAATGACTTTGTCCCACCTCTGGTACCCGTACCAGTACCTGGCCGGGTACGGGTAGCCGTTCCCTACCCGTACCCGTACCCTACCCGAAATGAGTGACAAACGGTTACTCACCAGTGACTCACGGCCTACCCGTACCCGGCCGCACCAGGGTCGCAAACGGCTACCCGTACCCAGCTGGGTACGGGTAGCTGGGTATCGGGTAGGGTACGGGTATCGGGTACCTGGTTGCGACCTCTGGCGGACGGGGAGGCGAGGTGGGGGGTGGGGGGGGGGTGAGGGAGGGGGCCAGCAGACAGAAAGTCTACCAGGGCGAGCGAATACACCGCTCGCTCGCCAGCGAAGAGACGGTGGTCGTCACCGCGTTGCGCGGCGCTTTCGGATGCGCTTCTGCGGCCGTCTGGAACGCTCTTCCTTCACGATGTTAGGAAGCCATCGGAGCGACGCACTTTTAAGTCTGGTGAGGTTGAGAACTGCTCGTTGTCGTGTTTAGACTGCTGGCCTTGCCACCGCACCTCCGATTAGCGCGGTTGGCGATGTATGGTGGCGCGAAAGAAGTCCGACACACAAACGTTGAGGAAAGGGAGCGAAGCGTGGAGCATGGGGGGTGTGGGGACCTGGCGCCTGCGATCTGTGAACAACGCGGACGGAAGACGCAGAGAGATGATGACTCACGACGACTACGACAACAACAACAAATCACAACAACGACTTACAACAACAACAACAACGACTCACAACAACTCACAACAACAATAACTCACAACAACGACTCACAACAACTCACAACAACAACTCACGACTCACAACAACAACTCACAACAACAACGACTCAAAACAACTCACAACAGCAACTCACAACAACGACTCACAACAACGACTCACAACAACTCACAACAACAACTAACAACAACTCACAACAACAACAACAACTCACAACAATGATTCACAACAACTCACAACAACAACTCACAACAACTCACAACAACGACTCACAACAACAACGACTCACAACAACAACGACTCACAACAACAACTCACAACAATAACAACTCACAACAACAACAACTCACAACAACAACTCACAACAACTCACAACAACTCACAACAATAACAACAACTCACAACAACAACTCACAACAACAAAACAACAACTCACAACAACAACGACTCACTTCGCCCCTCCACTTACCGCTGTCATCTCCCCCGAGTGCCCGCTGGATGCGCCGCGCGACGCGCCCCGCTGCCCGCAGCAGGGCCCCATACGTCGCCGTGCCGTGCCGGTCCGAGATGGCCAGGCGCTCTCCAAACGCGGCGGCGCGCGACGACACGGGGGACAGACACCCAGAGGCAGATGAGGTGGAGGAGCAGGTGGTGGCCGACGGACGGAAGGCCCGGCGGTGAACGAAGGCCCCGGCGCCGGCGGGAGAGGCGGCGACGGCGCCCGGCGGTAGCGCCCGGCTGGCGCGGGCGAGCGCCGATGTCAGCATGACGGCGTCGCGGCGCTGGTGAGACGGGGGGGGGAGGATCGGTGAGCGCAAACGGGTTTTGATTCCTTACCCGTACCCGGCGGCACCAGGGTCGCAAACGGGTACCCATACCCGTACCCGGCCGTACCCGTACCCTACCCGTACCCGGCCGGGTACGGGTAGGGTACGGGTATCGGGTACCCGATTGCGACCTCTGGCATGAAGCCATGTTGCAGGCGCGGGTGGGTTGATTCTAGGAACTTGAATTGTGAGAAGAGACAAGACGTTGGGAAATGAGTGACAAACGGTGACTCACCAGTGACTCACGGTCTACCCGTACCCGGCCGCACCAGGGTCACAACCGGCTACCCGGCTACCCGTACCCGGCCGGGTAGCCGGGTATCGGGTAGGGTACGGGTATCGGGTACCCGGTTGCGACCTCTGGGGAGGATCGGTGAGCGCTCCGGTACGGAACTCAGTTGGCCAGAGGCTCCCTCCCCCCATGTCTCGCTGACCGCGTTCTAACGGGGCATGTTCAGCGTTACACAAAACGCGTCTCCTGACGGAAACCGCGTAGTGTGAACGCCGCGCGTAAAGCGAGGGCCGTACAACAACACTGCAGTCGATCATCGATTATCCGGCACCGTGCGCGGTTATCCGGCTGCTTGCAGCATTACACGGCGTTCTCGGGCCGATCCGGCGAAACCGGCGAAACCACTCCAAAGGCGATCGGCACCGTGTGAGTGATCTCAGTGTCCAACATTGCATGCGGTACATTATACACTACGTACGCACAACGTAAACAATAGAAATACCGAGACGTATTATTGATTCTTCACGACTATTAACTACAGCAGGGGGTGAGGAATGTACTGCCCGCGGGCCGTATGAGGCCCACGAAATCATTTGGGTCTGGGGTATATAGTAGTGTAGTGTATAGTAGTGTATAGTGTAGTGTATAGTGTAGTGTATAGTAGTGTATAGTGTAGTGTATAGTGTAGTGTATAGTGTAGTGTATAGTAGTGTATAGTGTAGTGTATAGTAGTGTATAGTGTAGTGTATAGTGTAGTGTATAGTGTAGTGTATAGTAGTGTATAGTGTAGTGTATAGTAGTGTATAGTGTAGTGTATAGTGTAGTGTATAGTGTAGTGTATAGTAGGTATAGTGTAGTGTATAGTAGTGTATAGTGTAGTGTATAGTGTAGTGTATAGTGTAGTGTATAGTAGTGTATAGTGTAGTGTATAGTAGTGTATAGTAGTGTATAGTGTAGTGTATAGTGTAGTGTATAGTGTAGTGTATAGTAGTGTATAGTGTAGTGTATAGTGTAGTGTATAGTGTAGTGTATAGTAGTGTATAGTGTAGTGTATAGTGTAGTGTATAGTGTAGTGTATAGTGTAGTGTATAGTAGTGTATAGTGTAGTGTATAGTGTAGTGTATAGTAGTGTATAGTGTAGTGTATAGTGTAGTGTATAGTAGTGTATAGTGTAGTGTATAGTGTAGTGTATAGTGTAGTGTATAGTAGTGTATAGTGTAGTGTATAGTGTAGTGTATAGTGTAGTGTATAGTAGTGTATAGTGTAGTGTATAGTGTAGTGTATAGTGTAGTGTATAGTGTAGTGTATAGTAGTGTGGTATACAGTAGTGTATAGTAGTGTATAGTGTAGTGTATAGTAGTGTATAGTGTAGTGTATAGTAGTGTATAGTGTAGTGTATAGTGTAGTGTATAGTAGTGTATAGTGTAGTATATAGTAGTATAGTGTATAGTAGTGTAGTGTATAGTGTAATGTATAGCAATGTAGTGTATAGTGTAGTGTATAGTAGTGTATAGTGTAGTGTATAGTGTAGTGTATAGTAGTGTAGTGTATAGTAGTGTAGTGTATAGTAGTGTATAGTGTAGTGTATAGTGTAGTGTATAGTAGTGTAGTGTATAGTAGTGTATAGTGTAGTGTATAGTGTTGAGTAGTGCCTCCATAGAGCCCAATGTGTTCGCTTAACAGACCATTCCCCTGTTCAAGTTCAAGTTCATTTATTAGGTATAGCCCTGTGAGCCATTCAGCTCTTGAATCGGGTGCAACCGCAACAAACAAAAAACAAAAACATGAACAAAAAAACATCTTAAAGTGAATATGTGACTAAGTGCAAACAGAAAATCCAAGAAAAGACAGCAAAAAATATTGCAGAAAAAACACCGTACACCAACGCTGTGTGCAAAAATCCCAGTGGGATGCAAGTCAAACAACAACAACAACCACAAGACAACTTAGATTAAGGCCATCAGTCTAACTCTGTACTACAACAACACAAACATGGCTAAACCAATACACTTTTCGAAATCACCAAAATAAAGCCTGTTGTAGGTGCAGTAAATATTAATTGGCGTAGTGGATAATCATCCACGTTTCTTTCATTATTATGTATTTACAATGTTGTTAGTCTCTTTATGTATTAATATTATTATGTTTTATTATTTTTATTATTGTATTATTTCCCTTCTACGTGACTTTACCGAAAGAGCCAAGAATATGAATCCCTGCAGTCACGAAAGCTTCAAATCGAAATTTAATATCAATTGTTTAAATATCACAATGTAGGATTTTGGGGTGAAAAAGGGGATGATTTTCTCACCCCCCCCCCCCGACCTCATCACTCTCACGCAACCACTCATCCCACCACTCCTCCCACAAAGACACTCACCTCACTCTCACGCAACCACTCATCCCACCACTCCTCCTACAAAGACGCTCACTTCATCACTCTCACGCAACCACTCATCCCACCACTCCTCCCACAAAGACGCTCACCTCATCACTCTCACGCAACCACTCATCCCACCATTCCTCCCACAAAGACGCTCACATCATCACTCTCACGCAACTACTCATCCCACCACTCCTCCCACAAAGACGCTCACATCATCACTCTCACGCAACCACTCATCCCACCACTCCTCCCACAAAGACGCTCACCTAATCACTCTCACGCAACCACTCATCCCACCACTCCTCCCACAAAGACGCTCACCTCATCACTCTTACGCAACCACTCATCCCACCACTCCTCATTCCACAAAAACACTTTTTCATACCTGTCAACCCCTAACCAGTGCCCTGCATTATCACGGACCAACTCCAGACCGTATTGGTCACCCCGTGTCCCTTAGAAATCTCAACGTTCATCCTAAAAAAGCCCCGTCACAGGGTAGAAACTCTAACAGACAAACATTTGTGTTGTTATTGAAACGTATTTTCGCCGTATGAAACCCGTAAAAGATCAATTATCCGGTTCAAGCAACATCACGTGCTAAACCACGTGGCTTTACCATCGTTCAGAGGGGGATTCCACTGTTGAAATCTACCCACGTGCTCACGACAAACGGGAACACGTGACTAGTCACCTTGGGGTGGCCTTTGTGGGGGGTGGGAGATCACGCAATCCACGATACAGGCAAAGATCCCCCGTGTAGCCTTCAACAGACCGCCGGGGCAAGTGCTGTTCATAGCGAGCAGCACCTACGAAGGCCGGCACATGTTCAACAAAGATCCCCCGTGTAGCCTTCAACAGACTGCCGGGGCAAGTGCTGTTCATAGCGAGCAGCACCTACGAAGGCCGGCACGTGTTCAACAAACAAAGATCCCCCGTGTAGCCTGCAACAGACCGCCGGGGCAAGTGCTGTTAGTAGCGTGCAGCACCTACGAAGATACAGGCAAAGATCACCCGTGTAGCCTGCAACAGACTGCCGGGGCAAGTGCTGTTAGTAGCGTGCAGCACCTACGAAGATACAGGCAAAGATCACCCGTGTAGCCTGCAAGACTGCCGGGGCAAGTGCTGTTAGTGAAGGCCGGCAACCCGTACCACCACGAAGATGTGTAGATGTGGGTGACCCAGCAGCACCACGCCCGACCGCCTTTGTCTCCCCGGCAGGTACTCGTGTCGAGGCTGAGTCGACCTAGGGGAGGCCCACCACACACGCGGGGAGGGCAAGGGCACGCCGGCGGCTTGAGCGACTGTTTCCGTGACGTTGAGTTGAAGCCCCTCCTTGACTCGGATGTAGTTGTCAGATTTTAGAGGGTTTACCTCCTCCACCCCCACCTCTCTCTCTCCCTTCGCCCCCATCTTTCTAAAACTAAACAAAACACCTACTCACTCACCTACTCACTCACATACTCACTCACTCACCTACTCACTCACCTACTCACTGACTCACATACTCACCTACTCACTCACCTACTCACTCACTCACATACTCACATACCTATTCACTCACATACCTACTCACTCACCTACTCACTCACCTACTCACTCACATACTCACTCACATACTTACTCACTCACCTACTCACTTACTCACATACTCACCTACTCACTCACCTACTCACTCACTCACATACTCACATACCTATTCACTCACATACCTACTCACTCACCTACTCACTCACCTACTCACTCACATACTCACTCACATACTCACTCACCTACTCACTCACCTACTCACTGACTCACATACTCACCTACTCACTCACCTACTCACTCACTCACATACTCACATACCTATTCACTCACATACCTACTCACTCACCTACTCACTCACCTACTCACTCACTCACCTACTCACTCACCTACTCACTTACCTACTCACTCACATACTCACTCACATACTCACCTACTCACTCACCCATTCACTCACTCACCTACTCACTCACATACTCACTCACTCACCTACTCACTCACCTACTCACTGACTCACATACTCACCTACTCACTCACCTACTCACTCACATACTCACATACCTATTCACTCACATACCTACTCACTCACCTACTCACTCACCTACTCACTCACATACTCACTCACATACTCACCTACTCACTCACCTACTCACTCACATACTCACTCACTCACCTACTCACTCACCTACTCACTGACTCACATACTCACCTACTCACTCACCTACTCACTCACTCACATACTCACATACCTATTCACTCACATACCTACTCACTCACCTACTCACTCACCTACTCACTCACTCACCTACTCACTCACCTACTCACTTACCTACTCACTCACATACTCACTCACATACTCACCTACTCACTCACCTACTCACTCACCCATTCACTCACTCACCTACTCACTCACATACTCACTCACTCACCTACTCACTCACCTACTCACTGACTCACATACTCACCTACTCACTCACCTACTCACTCACTCACATACTCACATACCTATTCACTCACATACCTACTCACTCACCTACTCACTCACCTACTCACTCACTCACCTACTCACTCACCTACTCACTTACCTACTCACTCACATACTCACTCACATACTCACCTACTCACTCACCTACTCACTCACCCATTCACTCACTCACCTACTCACTCACATACCCACTCACCTACTCACTCACATACTCACTCACCTACTCACTCACATACTCACATACCTATTCACTCACATACCTACTCACTCACCTACTCACTCTCTCACCTACTCACTCACATACTCACTCACATACCCACCTACTCACCTACTCATTCACTCACCTACTCACTCACCTACTCATTCACCCACTCACATAATCACCTACTCACTCACCTACTCACTCACCTACTCACATACCTACTCACTCACCTACTCACTCACCCACTCACTCACATGGGGCTGGGTGGGGAGGGTGGGCCTGGGTGGGGTTGGGAGGGGTGGGGCTGGGTGGGGAGGGGCTGGTCACCCCGTGGTGCCCTTATAAAACTCAACGTTTAACCTACTCACGCCGGCTTGTGCCCGCCCTCACAGTCGGCCATATTTGCGGAATACACCACGCCGCTGTTGACCCTGCAGGCCATTGACCGAGCAACCCGACGTTCCTACCAGCTCCCTCCGCAGGACAATGTGTTCATCGTGTTCCAGTGTTATCACCCGTTCAATCTTGATTTGAAGCTTTCGTGACTGCATGCAGGAATCCATACTATTATCCGTTAATTTCCCATTCGAGAACGATAGTCCAATGTAAGTGTTCACATTTTTAGTTTTTAAGCACCCTGTACATATGTATTGCGAGCAAGGACAGAGTGGGCGCTGCACCACTCACGCGGGCCGGAGTATTAGGGGAGGTGGAGCCTGGTCGTCGGGGTGAGTGGGGGCGGAGTCAGGGTCACGTGAGGAGGAGGAGGAGGAGTCAGGGTCACGTGAGGAGGAGGATATAGGGTGAGAACCGGAAGGGGATCGGGAGTCGAGAGAGAGTTGATAAAGGAGTGGTCACGCGGGGTGCTGGCGGAGGAGTGGCACGAATTGCCACGTGGTCGGAGTCATGGCACCGTCGGCCAGCGGTGTACGTGGAGCAGCGGGGTGGCTGCAGAGTGTGCGGGGCACACGGAGCAGCGGGGTGGCTGCAGAGTGTGCGGGGCACACGGAGCAGCGGGGTGGCTGCAGAGTGTGCGGGGCACACGGGTAGTGGTGTGGCTGCAGAGTGTGCGGGGCACACGGCGCAGCGGTGTGGCTGCAGAGTGTGCGGGGCACACGGAGCAGCGGGGTGGCTGCAGAGTGTGCAGAGTCACACGGAGCAGCGGAGTGGCTGCAGAGTGTGCGGGGCACACGGGTAGTGGTGTGGCTGCAGAGTGTGCAGAGTCACACGGAGCAGCGGTGTGGCTGCAGAGTGTGCAGAGTCACACGGAGCAGCGGTGTGGCTGCTGAGTGTGCGGGGCACACGGAGCAGCGGTGTGGCTGCTGAGTGTGCGGGGCACACGGCGCAGCGGGGTGGCTGCAGAGTGTGCGGGGCACACGGAGCAGCGGGGTGGCTGCAGAGTGTGCGGGGCACACGGAGCAGCGGGGTGGCTGCAGAGTGTGCGGGGCACACGGCGCAGCGGTGTGGCTGCAGAGTGTGCGGGGCACACGGAGCAGCGGTGTGGCTGCAGAGTGTGCGGGGCACACGGAGCAGCGGTGTGGCTGCTGAGTGTGCGGGGCACACGGCGCAGCGGGGTGGCTGCAGAGTGTGCGGGGCACACGGAGCAGCGGGGTGGCTGCAGAGTGTGCGGGGCACACGGAGCAGCGGAGTGGCTGCAGAGTGTGCGGGGCACACGGCGCAGCGGGGTGGCTGCAGAGTATGCGGGGCACACGGGCAGCGGAGTGGCTGCAGAGTGTGCGGGGCACACGGGTAGTGGTGTGGCTGCAGAGTGTGCGGGGCACACGGAGCAGCGGGGTGGCTGCAGAGTGTGCGGGGCACACGGAGCAGCGGGGTGGCTGCAGAGTGTGCGGGGCACACGGAGCAGCGGGGTGGCTGCAGAGTGTGCGGGGCACACGGAGCAGCGGGGTGGCTGCAGAGTGTGCGGGGCACACGGAGCAGCGGAGTGGCTGCAGAGTTTGCGGGGCACACGGCGCAGCGGGGTGGCTGCAGAGTATGCGGGGCACACGGGCAGCGGGGTGGCTGCAGAGTGTGCGGGGCACACGGGTAGTGGTGTGGCTGCAGAGTGTGCGGGGCACACGGAGCAGCGGGGTGGCTGCAGAGAGAGCAGAGGACTCGAACGGCGTGCGGAGGGCACGCCACGGAAGAGGTGCGGGTCCGACCGGGGACATCGTGGGGTGCGAGACAAGAACCCAATAAACGACAGACGGAGACCAACATCGCCTAAGAGTCCTTTATTCCATATATATAGATAAAATCGCCACGTAGGTAATTCACAACGTGATGACAATGAACTCCCACCACTCACCCACAACCCCCCCCCCCCACCCCACGTAACTCACTCAGCCCACCTCACTGCCGTTGCAAAACCATCAAGCGCTGCCAGTCGCAATTATTTGACGTTTGTCCGCGGGCGAGACTTTTAAAAAACCCATCGCCTCCGCTGCCCACAAGCGACGGACACCACTGCATCATTAAGATCCGCCGCGCTCATTACGCAGAAATAAAAGACAAAGATCCCCCAGTGCTGTTAGCGAGCACCTATGAAGCCCGGAACGGTACACGAGGGGGTGGGTGGCCAGCAACCACGCCCGATTGTCTTTGTCTCCCCGGTGGCGATGTTTACACACCGCATCAGGTACTCATTTGAGGCCGAGTCGACCTAGGGGAGGCCCAGGACCGGTTCAGATAATCGTCACTGGTGTTGGCCGTGAGCGGGAATCGAACCCGTGTCGCCGGGTTCATAGCGCAGTGCGCTAACCGCTACACTACCGCTCCCCATTATACACACACTGACACACAGACACACACACACACAGACACACACACAGACACAACAACAACAGCCATTCGCCACTAAGTGGCGGTGACGTCTCCACGACGCTTGTGCCAGGCCACGTGCACCTTGAGGCCACGTGAAGTGTCGAACGCCCGCTGGCAGGAGGTCAAGGTACAGACCCAGCAGGTGGCGTGGGTCGACTAACTGAGATGACTGGCCGATGCACCACCTGTGCCCCCGACTGTGCCAACACACGACACACACACACACACACCAAAAACAGCAACCGCATTGCGCTAACAGATGCGCCACCGCTCCCCACATCACCACCACCACCATAACGACCATCACCACCGTCTCATTTCTCCCTCCTCACCGCCTCCGTTCTCTGAAAACGACACCTTTGAAAAGCGGTCATAGGGCAGACCCAAGTGCCATGGGTCGACTGACTGAGATGACACACACACCAACACGTACACAACGGCAGTATTTACCAGGGCGACCGCCGCCGAGGTTTTAGAAACGCGGAACCTCTTGCGAAGGAGCGCCGATGAACAAGCACATGGCAAGGGGCAACCTCGCCATGGAGAATCCATGAAAGCTGCGCGGTGGTGGATGGTTCGTTAATTTGCATGCAGCCCGAACGCTTGATTAACTGCACAGATCAGATCATTTGTATTCCCAGACAATAGCAGCAGCGACGCTGCATCGGTAATTGACGTGAATTGTCCATTCTGAAAGACACTGTAATATATATAGCATATGCTTTAGAGGTGTGTGTGTGTATATATGTAATCTGATTGCCCTGAGCATGGGA